TGGTTGTGATTAACCTTGAAATATAAGTCTCCAGCAGATGAAAAACACTTGCAATTTGTAGCCCAGGGATAACAAATCAAAGATGATATCAAATCATATTGCATGTTGCGTAGTGGTTTTGAGAATGCATGACAACCATTAGTTAGGAAAGATAAAGTTACCATAGATTTAAAAAACCTATTCTTTCTCTAAAATGTCACACTGAAATAAGGGCTGCCTTTTGTAAGCTTAGGTATTTGTCATCTATACTTAAGTAATTTTGATAAAAACAACACTTTTCGTCCCAGTGGCCCACCTTCTGGAGACAGGGTCATCTTCCTGAATGAGAATACTGGTTCGGCTTTTCCACTGCAATAATAAGCTATTAGCTTAACCAGCTGCTCATCTGGTCCCCAAAGCAATGTTGGAATTCTAGCATTCTAGGCTTGGATCAGAGAGTATGACCCCACGTTTTCTTCTATTTACTATTGACATTTGGGTAAGACTACTCTGTGACAGACTGGTAACCATCTACTTCTCTGGATACTCTAAATCTACCCTCTATTGAATTAGATCAGATCATCAGAAAACTCTGTACTTGGATCCCATTAGCTGAGGCTCTTTTGCTGAGTTACGTGTTATATTATACCCATGACTTTACCCAGGGTTAGTTTAAAAAAGAAGTAATATAAAATTTTGTTTTACTTATATTGTTGACAGTATTGCCTATTGTATCACCCCACATCTCACACATAAAGCTGCAAACGAGAAATTTCATTGAGAGTTTAGGGATAGGAAAAAGTTTGTTTTCTTTGATAAAAGATACTTTTCCATCTCTTAGATAATAAGAGGTGCAAGTTACCTTATTTATTTACCCTAAATGCCTTGTAAGCAAAGGGCCAAATTTGAATATCAGTTATGTCAACAAATTTTTTTAAATTAATTTAAAAACAAGGTCATCATGCAAACCAGGAGCCAGCAGACTATGGCCTGTCAGCCATCTGTTTTTTAAATAAAGTTTTATGGCTCTCAGCCATGATCATTTGTTTATGTATTGTCTATGGCTGCTTTCCTGCTACAAGGGCAGACTTGAGTGGTTGCTATCTGGCCCTTTACAGAAAAAGTTTTCTAGTCCTAATGTAAACAATCACAGAATGGTGTGGATCAGACCATATGCAATAGTACTGAAGGTATATAAAGTCAGCTGATTACTGTAAGGTGTGACGGGTTGGGAAGACTTTAACAGAGATGTGCTGTGAAAGGAATTTCATTGTTAAATAGTGGGAGCATACAGAGAACATTTAATGTGGGAGAGAACAGCATGAGTACAGTCCTTAGGAATGAGCAGATTTTGAGCATGTGGAACCATTGCTTTTTGCTAGACTGGAATTGGACGGAAGTGAAAATGAAGTGGAATGGATGAGATTGTTGATAGAGGACTTAAAAGCTAGGCAACAGAATTTGCATTTGATCTGACAGACAATTGAAAACCGACTCTGAATTCTTCATAGGAAAACGATGTGATGGAAATATCATTTTAGGACTATTAATCTAACAGCAATGTATGGGATGAACTCAAGCGTGGAGAACCCCCAAGCGTAAGCAGTTATGAAGTGAGTCTGGCAGGAAGAACTAAGTTGATAATTATAGAAATGGAGAGGAAAGCTAGACTCCGGGATGCTGGAAAGAATGAAGCAGACTTTTTGACTGACTAGATTTAGAGAATGGTAAAGGAAGTTGTGGGAGGAGAACTGCGACGAATTGAAATGAGGACAATTTTTATGAGAGGAAATATGTATCTTGTTTCTGACATTCCGAGTTTTTGATGTTTTAGAGTTTTAGAAGAAGAGACAGTAGGGGGCATTTGGAGATCTAGAACTGGAGATCTGAAAGGTAATAGCTCTGGTTGAATTTTTATGAAGAAAGAAGAGCACAGGGCAAGTCTTGGGAGTGCCTTCAAGAAGCAAGATGGAGTGCTGGAAGCAGAGTGGACAGAATTAGGAAAAGCCAGTAAAGTAGCATTTCCCAGTATGTATCCCAGGGAAGCCTGGTAGTGTAGACTGTTAAAAGGCATTTCTAGAAAAAAAGACTTCGGTGACCAGATAAGTTTGGTCAACTCTGGGTTAAACAAAGTTAAACAGACTTCTTGCTTTAGAACTGCTCAGATTTTCTTTAATATAAAAATGTGCACTATTATTTTTATCTCCAATTAAAATCACTCTTAGATTCTTGTATCCAAGTGTCTACCTGAGATCTCCACTGGATGTCTCTTAGACATATAAAATTTACCTGTCCAAAATGGAATTCCTGGTCTGCCCGCCAAAACTTTTTCCACCTCAGTTGATGACAACCCTATCGTTGCCTTTCAGTAAAAAGTGCCATGATAAGAAGTGATAAATTATTTGCTTAATATGTAACATGGCCAAGGAAGTTGAGATTAAAAATAAAGTTGCTCAGATCAAAAACTTTGGATTTATACTTGGTCCCTTCCTATCTCCTATACTCTCATCCAATCTGTTAGCAACCATGTTGGCTCTACAGATTTATCCAGAATCCAACTACTTTTCACCTCAAGCGATTCTGTTAAGATCTTACCACTTGTTTCTACAGTAACTTCCCATTTCACTCTGAATTAATGCATCTGTCCTTCCAGGGGCCCACAAAACCTTTTGTGGTCTGGCTCTTCATTGCTTCTCTGACCTCATTTACCATTGTCTTCCTCCTTCACTCTGCTCTAGTCTGGTCTCTTTGCATTTCCTGGAACGTATTTTAAGCACTCTATTGCCTTGCTGTTTTTTGCACTCACTGTTACCTCTACCTGTGACACTCTTCCACCAGATACCTGTATGGCTAGCTAATACCCTCTCCTC